TGAGATTATCATTATCTGACAACAGGATTAGGGGGGTGTGGGTACTTAGGACAGAACGCGACTTTTTCGCTCATTCGCAACGCGACATCGCGCGGCAGGCTGGCGCACCCGCAGCGAAAACAACTACGGTATGGAAGAACGCGCGATTGGAGCAGCTTTTTTGCATGCGTGAATTTGTAAGTTTCTGATTCCTTACTTGCCCGCGCTCACACCCATTGTATTGATAAATGCGGTGAATCACTAATTCTGTCTCATTATTGAAACGGTTCTTTGTTGACTTCCGCGATCGCGGCGAAATTTGCCCAAAATGGGTTTCGAAATTATCGGTGAACGAGGGTTTAATAGTGTCGCTTCTGCTTGCATTTCGTGGGGTTCATATTGTTGAATAGACATCTGCATAAGGGTATAACATCTTTTTACGGAACGCTTCTGTCCTCATCACGGATATGATACTCATTTTTGACGCTGGCGCCATTTGGGGCCGGGTGGCGCCACAACTGATTCCCACTAAATTCGCTGTAAACTTCTGTATAGGGGTTATTCGGGGTCCTGATTTGTTGTTAGCGCTATTCGGCGCCTGCTTCCTGCTCGTCTGCGCCCTCGCACTAATTAGATCGCAGTAGGACTAAGCCTTTGAGTAGTGTAGGGCTCCAAAGTGGGTAGGCCATTCCCCTGTGGTCTGACACACTCCAACTTTTGCCACACGGTGCGTGGTTTACCCACTCCGGAGTTTCACTCCCCTCCCCTAAGCTTAGTCGTAGGCGCTGTAGGTGAGAAAGCTTAGAAAAGCAGAAAGTATGCGTTAAACAGCACGAATGTGAAAAATGAGTGTCATATTCATGATCAGGGCCCCAAATAACCCTATGCAGAAGTTTACAGTCGTCTCATCAAACGTCCATCAACCATTCCTCTTCCAGGTTCTCCAGAAGCTCTACCATCCATCTCTGCAAAAATAACCTACCTCCCTCTTCACTGCTAGTTAGCGGTCCACTTCTGGTTACCATTTCCTCGTTCATTATCAAATCCATGGCTATTAAGCTTCAAAGCTCAATTGTCGCAGGCGCTTCGAGGAAACTCGGTACTCGCCCCTCTCGTGCGAAGGCCGCGAAGTCATGAAACAACCCTCTTTAAAAGCCGAACTATGAGAAAAGTTGTTTAATTCTCCACCAAAACTGCTCATAAAAAAGCCCTGCTACCCCATCGTCCACAAAAAAACTCGTTTAAAAAGTATAAAAGTGAAAAAGTCAAAGAATGATCATTAATGACGAGTCCTGTCAAACGAGCAAACGAGAAACGGAGCAAAAAACGTCAAACTAGTCACTAGAAATGGCGTACTATGACAACACCTCTTCTTTGTTTATTTCCTCCACAAGACTTACCAAATTCTAGTACTACACAGATTATGGTTCTCAATTTACACGTCCCCCTTTCGCTCAAAGGAAGCCTTGTAAAAGCCTTCGCCAGCTGTGTGTTGACTGGACTTTGGCGTTGACCGTGGAGCAGCTTATTTACTATTGAAATTTGAACAAATATTCAAATGATTATAACTTTCTTCAAAGTTAACGAATTTTCAATCTGAAAGCTGATTTGGGAGTTTTGTGAAGAGCTTTTTCTAATCAGTACTGAAATTACAGGAAGTTATAAGAAATAACAAATTTAGATCAAATAACGAGGAAAATTCGAGACGAGCACGAGTTTTTACACTTTCCGGAGCAATAACTTGCTTCATTTCCGTCAAATTCAAAAAGTTGATACGTCATACAAAACTAGAAGATTTTCTCTATCAAATGGTCGCTAAAGCAGCTTCATACGTCCAGTACTCAAAAAATGGCCACGTTGAGGATTTTTGCAAAATTAACGAGGAAAATTCGTGATGAGTGCGAGTTTTTACGCTTTCCAAAGCCATAACTCCGTTCAAACTCATGCAATCTGGAAAGTTAATACGTCATCATAAACTAGAAGATTTGCTCTTTCTATAGGCAACTAAAACTGCTAAATACGTTCACTATTTAAAAAATGGGCCACGTTGAGGATTTTTGCCCGAGTACCGCCGAAAGGTACTTTTTCGCTACATTAGCACTATCCCAACGACTATAGCTCCTTGCAGGAGCGATTACATACTGAAGTAGGAGCAGATTCAAAATCCTCGTGCTTTTCTCTCTGCAAAAAGTGTAAAATTGTTTAGCGGGTCTCAACTTTAAAGGTTACATTTGTGAATTTGACGCTGAAGGCTGCGTTTCTTGTTGAATAGTGTACTCCTCTCTGTAATTTAACATGAACTCTTTCAGAACCCTCTTGATTCTTCCTGAATTAAGATTCGTTATCAAGATAGCCGTAGCTGAAGCGCGCGCAACCAACTGGGCCCACTCTGGGATGCGCCGTGTGCTTCACATCTCGTTGGATTTGAGGACCTACTTGAAAGATAAAATATCCCTAGAAAACGTGCGAATTTCGGATCCTTTGACTTGTGTGGTGATGAAACACTAAAGTCACTAAGAATTGCTAAGCGGACACCTCTAAATCACGAAGATTTTGTGTGGACGGAATCAATTGTTATTGGAAATACTCTGGCCTGGTATCGATTCGATCCTTAATGTTTGTCCTCCGACGATGATCCTACTGTATCAATCGGGCCCGATCTCTCCCCAGCGGGCCAATACGACCCCCCCCCCTCTGTGACATGTCGAGGATTCCTCAACGCACGCTTGACCCTGCTTCAAACTCCTTTGCAATCAAAGCCGACACAAATATCGTGCTCCAATCGCGCGTTCTCCTATACCGTAGTTGTTTTCGCTGCGGGTGCGCCAGCCTGCCGCGCGATGTCGCGTTGCGAAGAGCGAAAAAGTCGCGTTCTGTCCTAAGTACCCACACCCGATTAGGAATACCCCCCAGGAGGCCCGTCGCGCGGCAAGAAGGCAGAGTCGTCGGACGAGTTGCAGCGCGTGATGTGCGATGTAGGACGTGCAATGGGACACTCTTTTAACTTGACGCGAAATCCCTATAGTGCGCGCGCGACTCGTCCGCTGACTTTGCCTTTTTGCCGCGCGACGGGCCTCTTGGGGGTACCTCAGAATTAGTTGCAAATCTATAACACCCCATTGAACGCACTGTTACTGTCGATTCACTCACTTAGGCTGGTGTCAGAGTCCGCGATCCGTCGCAGCTTTCGCTGATTTCAGCGATTTTCGCGATTTGCGCGAAACCTGCGATGGATCACAGGAGTTGGAAGTGCCCGATGAATACTGCGAGGTGTTGTTTAATCCTGCTGCGAATTCTGCTTGACAGTAAAGATTGAAAGACGACTGTTTGTGATTCTACTTGTTTCATGTTCAATGTCTATCAGTTCATTGAAATGCTCATGATTCGTTCCTATTCTATCCTATAATTCTAGATTCTATAATATCAAACAAGTGGAATCATGAGGGCAGTCGTCATTCAGCCATCACTATCAAGCAGAAGTGGCGGCGGCATTGGAGAACACCTTGCAGTATTGATGGGGCACTTGTGATTTCCGTGACCCGTCGCGCAAATCGCGCAAATCGCGAAAATCAGCGAAACCTGCGACGGATCGCGGACTCTGACACCAGCCTTACACGTCGCAATAAACATAACACTTCACCGATTTGCCTTCCATCGGCTAATTTGCCAATGTAAGCGGGTTCTTACAAAATTTGTCAGTTCCCGTTGTAAGAATGTCAATGTGTCATTTGGCCTTTCAGGTGACACAATGGCATGGTTCGAGTGACGCAGCTCTGGAGGATGAGCCATTTTATCATGGTTATATGGCTCGAGCAGAAGCCGAGAAGATTATTACGAAGGATGGCGAATTTCTCGTGCGAAAAGCAGAAGTCAGAGGCAGAGAGGTCACTGGAATTATTCTTAAGGGCACGCTCCACAATTAGTTGATGGAACAGTCCTCCATGTGTCTGAAAGATTGCGACCAATCCGCGGTGCGAAATGTGCAGCAGTGGGTCAAGCGCTCCCGTCTTGGGACCTGGTGCTATCAGTAAGGCCGAGTCTGTCCTCCTCCTCTACACCTCCATCCAAATGACAGCGTCAAGGCAAAAAAAAGGTTTGAAACTAAGTGCGATAGAATGAGAATGAGCAATAGTTCCAATAGCCAAATTGAGACGAGCACGGGAATAAACTGTCACATCTGGTAAATACCGTGCCCTGTTCTCATGGGGCAACTGTTGTTTCATGGGGCCGTATGCTGAATGTTGGGTAGGGGCTGGGGTCCCCGACCCGCGATGCTGAATGTTGGGGCTCCCAGCAGAGTTTCGTCGCGGGACCTACAGGTGACTGGCCAGTCCTTTAATTCTGTGATGAAGTTTTGTCTTTTCACTGTTCTAGATTACAGATTCGTCCACGCACACATTGCCATATTGAAGTAATACACCAATATGGCACGAAGTAATAGAAGGCGCGAACCAAACTTCAGTCTAAAGTAGTGAATGGACAGACTGGCAAGATTACGGCAATACAGCTAGACGTACACGAACGCTCCAATATGTGAAAGAATCAAAGGATAAACTAAAGCAATTACAACAATATAGCTGCATATACGTGGACAAATCTACAGTGTAAAACAGTAAAAAGGTGAAAACGTAATCGTAAAATCAAAGGACCGGTCAGTGGCCGCCCCCGGTCCCGCGACGAAACTCTGCTGGGAGCCCCAACATTCAGCATCGCGGGTCGGGGCCCCCAGCCCCTACCCAACATTCAGCATACGGCCCC